GATTAAAATAAACTGGAAGAAGATTGAAGGGAAGGGAACAGAAAAACTGAAACATTAAAAAAGCATGTCTGAGAGCATCATTGTAACACAGTAAACTTCAGTATAGATGAACAAATTATATATTATTCAAAGGCCTCAAAGAACATACAGACATAACCATCTACTGACTGTGCAGAATGGTTCAATACCACTTTAAAGGATATGATACAAAGCACATTATTCCCAGTATAAAAGTGACCGTAAATTATAAGTATCTTGTATTCCTATTACATTTTTATAGTAATGGTATGAAGTATTAATACTGAGACAATATTGTCAGAGCTCTTCTGTTAATACTTACTCAGCAACCCTGTGGGCTCACTTGGCCCCTGTTCCCCCCCTCTTTCACCCTAAGCACAGAAAAGGTGGAGACTCCCATGTCCAATCAAACATCCATGGTTTTTATACAGAGTACTAGAATGAACTGCTTAAAAACCCCAAAACAACAAACAGAACAAAATAAGAAATAAACCAAGTGGCCACAAGACTGTTTTGCTAATGGAAGCAACCAAAGAAAACTGCAAGTCAGGTGTAGACAAGCCATAAAGGATAATAAAACCCCCAGACATAAGTGTATTAATCACTTCCCTGCTGCCACGTGTTCATTGTTGCTCTCTAGCTCACAGAGCCAACTCTATTGGTGCCACAGAAGAAAATCTCAGCCTATTCAGAAAGGTGACATCAATTTTGCCTGAAGATTAGGTCAATGAAGAATGAGACGTGGACGTTACAGTCCTGACCCAAATGTGATAGTTTTGATATAACCTTTACATTTGATACTGTCACAACAAAGTTATTTTGAAGTTATGAAACCCTGTATGATGCCAAGACCTGGTAAAACCACCAAACATGGAGTAGTCTGCAGCTCTTTATTTGAAGGAAGTGTCTTGGGTTGTAAGAAAGCAAAAACCAAGGCAAAATGCCTTTTCAGGAGGCAGTGTGAAGGCAAGTCCCTGAATAATATCTAAATATTTTGAAAATATGCTGAGTACATCTCGAAAAGGTTCAAAGAGCAATTTTAATGGTATTTAAAAGTCACATTTTTTCATCAGGGCTTCACTATGTTTTCTATACTGAGAAGGAAAAGCAGGAAAAGAAAGGTCTCATGAAGTAATGCAGAAGATTAGGAAGACCTCCACTTTCTGCACGAGCAAGAGAAGAAATCATCATCCCACATAATGTAAAGATGTACTGGAAATGGTGTAAATTTCTAAAAAAGACAAATACCTATTAAGAAAAGATACATATATGGGTGAGGTTTTTTTTGTTTGTTTGTTTTAGTGGATTCTTTTAGTTTTATGTGGAATAACAGAAAATTAACTTAAGGAAAAAGCAACTAATATTTTGAAGCCATTGACAGATCTTTATTCACAGACTGGAACAGATTTTCTAAAGGATGTGAGTTTGACATCTGAAAGGCCAATTGCCATGGGCCCACTGACCCTACCAGTGAGGCCAAGAGGAACTGCAGAGGACATTCCTGGGAATATCTCTGCTGGACAACCACAGTTAAAGACAAAGGAATAAAACCTCAGCCTACAGGAGAAATCACACCAACCAGGCACCAGCAGGCAAGGGGACAATCCCAGAGATTTGTGCTGGCCCCTGAGGGCCTTCATGAGCCCACTGGACATGCTTGACACTGCTTTCCTCAGGAAAAGGGATCCTCTCAAACTCCTGTAACACATAATGAAGTAAATCCATGTGGGACTTCCTCTGGAGAGGTACTTGGGCAAATGGAGAAAATAATAATAGTCATGACAGAGAGCTGAACAGACTGATGCTGGTGGTATGTGCTACTGCCAACTGGCAGGCAAGATAAATTGTAGGGAGTGAAGGGAGCATTCAAAACCATTCTTTAAACAAGAAAAACCTTGAATTAGTGAAGGGATTCATGAAAGTAAATATGCAATGGAAGGGGCAAAGAAACAGAAACTGGTATCTCTGTTTCGTGACAAGATTTGGCTTTCGTTTTGTTCTCGTTGCTACTACATAATTTACTGGTGATTAAGGCTGGTTTTAGGACAGTGTCTACAGAATGAGCCACAAGGAATAATTTATAACCTCTGAAGCTTCCATAGCCTGGCTTCACTGTACCTTTTTTAAGATGAGGCTCCAAAGAAAGTTTTCTGTCCTTCATAGTACAAACGACACAACCTCAGCCTGAATTTCAGCTCATTCAGGAGCAGGACTGCAAACCAAGTCGTGTATTGATGATGGTGTGCTACTCATGAGGAGATCTCACAGAAGAACCATTTATCACCCCTAATACTTATTAAAAAGGTTATGCTGATTCCTACCTATAATTGTACTCTCTCTTAAACAGAAAACAAAGCCAGCTCTCACACACACAGCCCAGTTGTGTCCCGGAGCAATATCTGGCAGGAGTGGAAGGCAATGTAACATGAACTCAGACTGTCAAAGCATGAGCCTTGATGAAGTGTTTTCTGATGAAATCTAACTAGGAAGCACCAAAAGCTTGATTCCAATCCCAACAAGTCACAATTTGGCCAATGGTACAAACAGGGCAATACTGAGGTTCAGCTTGTTGTTCATACTAAGCAGCCATCAGGTGGAGGTGGCTCAAGGTGATAATCAACCACAGATGGGAGCCAAACTGCCAACATGGGGTGCCCCAGTCCTTGTCACCTCCCAGAGGTGATCAGTCTGTTTGAGTCCGAGTATATTGCTTTGGATATTTAGTTAATGGACCCAAGCAAGCTTCCTTACTGACACATTGTGGCTTGAAATCATATACATTTACATAGTGTAAAACCTAGTGTGAGATTAAATGGCCTTAATCCTTATAATATGGTAGATAAGGAAGGTAGAAAGTTGCAGATGACCTTTTGAAATGTCCTCATGTACAAAAGAAACAGCAAATCCCAAATCTGTGTGTGAGTTAAAGTACTGACGTCAATGGGACTCCCATGGGAAGTTTTGGGAGTTTGCCTTAGCAAGAACAGACCAACCAAATAGGACAAAGTTTTGACTTAAGGTCAGTATGTCAAAAGTCACAAAGCAAAGCCTGGGATAAAACAAAGGCCAAAGATAATGTCCCTTGGATTAATTTTTACGAGCAGCATACCGGGCTTTTGAACCCTTCACCAGCCTTCTACAAAAGCAGCTACGGGCTGACTACCACAACTAAACTTGAAAGGGGAAGACATTCCTTTGTAGTTCACATTTTCTGGCTTTGAAGTCACAGTGAGTCTTACCAATGACTTCAATGGGACTTGCTTTACACTTTTATATTAGTCATTGTTTTATCCTTACTCCTTTCAAAATTCCGGACAATAACATTTCTTTTTATCGTAATCCTGACAGAGCAATTAGGCTTCAGTCCACACCTGCACCTGACTTTTTTCTTAACAAAGCATTCTTTGAGCTTCTCTTCTCTGAACAGAGCTAAGAGAGCTGAATTAATGGTGTCTCTCTGCTCTGTCCACTTCCTCTGTTTTTCATGACCTGCTGAAGAACATGAAATTCTTCAAGGCTGGTACAGCTCTCTTTGGTTAAGACCAGGTGTAGATTTCACGTACGGTTTTATGAGTGTGCTTAGCAGAAAAAGAAGATTCTTTCTATCAGGGTAATTAAGCAATAACAGAATGACAGAACGTGGATTAAAGTGTAATCATTCACAGGTGCATTCATAGCATGGTTTTAGTCATGAGTTCAGAAGATGAATAACATTCCCAGTGTAACCAGCCATGAAATACTGCTTCATAGTTTAAAAATTTGAGAGTGTTTTGGAAATAAAACATTTCTTTTGTATCTTTAATATATAAACCAGATAGGCACATGCCACAAATACTTGCTGTGAAAACATGAGGTTCTCATTGCTCCAAGGTACCCCCAACTCTCATCTTTTTGGTGTCAAATGTGCAAGACTCTGAGCTTTGTCTGCACAACCCTCCATTCCACAATACCCAACAATACTCCTGTCTAACACTGGGCTACAACAGGACCAACCCCTGCTCCATTCTAGTGCCTTTGCAGCCCGTGATTGAGGAAAGGTACCCAGAGAAAAACATTTTTCCCAGTGTTTGCTTGCACAGCTCCTCCCTCTTGCTCACTTGGAGGGCAACTGAATGCCAAATGACCGACCCAAAGGGGGAAAGTTGGGCACTTCCAAAACCTGCAGATACACCACCACCCCCAGGAGTCAAGCCATGGAAAGGGTGAGGAGAGCTCAGTGCAGAGCCCACCTCAGCTGCAGCCAAAAAAAACCTGTGGCTCTTAGAAGCACTCTGAGCCATGGGTTGGTACAAACAATGGCACAGAACATTGACCATAAAGAATAGCAAGGGTTTTTTCACAAGATACTCCACAAAGCTGCTGCACAGAGGGATTCTGCACACAGAGCAGCTTCTTTGGGAAGGGTAACTAATGGGATTAGCACCACTTACTCTCCATCTTCTTATGTGATTTATATTTTGCTAAGCACTTCCAAGCCCTGTTTCCCTCCCCATTGCTGAGTGGTTTCACCTTGCAGCCATGGCAGGGGAGCCCCAGAGAGGAAAACAAATATTTACAAATAAAAAATAATGTGGCACCGACAGGGTCCCATGAAGTGACACAAGGGATAATTTTGTCCAGTTATTTGTTAAGGCCTTGATCCTGCCCCAGAATCTCTTATACTTATCAAAGTACCTATACTGGGTACTATACTCCCAGTTTTTTGGTAAATCTTAATATGACTCATATGCACAGAACCACGCACTAAAGTAGCAGGAAGGTAGTCTAAATATGTACTCATGTGTATAGAGTTTTGTGTTTTGTTAAATAAAGAACACAACAAAATTCCTATGCATAATGTATAGACTAACAGTTATCTACTGGATAATACACAGAGACATATATACAGGAGGAGGTACTTGCCATCAACACAGGAAGGTCTGTTTCTTGTAGTCCCAGCCACTTTCCCAGGTAGACAGGAGCATTTTACTGTTTGTGATCTTTCCTCAATTCGATTCTTATTACAGCATCTGTGTGCTGCTATAACTTCACACGTTCCTCCTTCTGGCAAAAAAAAAAAAAAAAAAAAGAAAGAAAAAAGAAAGAAAAAAGAGAATATTGACACTGATTAGGAAGCACTAATCAAAGCACCCAGGCATGCTCCTGCCTGTAACTCTGCCTCACTTCTATATAGGTGGGATTATGATGTTATTTCTCCCGTTACTGTGCTCCCAAATCAGCCAGGTGCTGCTACACCTCATTTTCAATAGAAAATGTAGATAAATGTCCCTTACCTGTCTTAAATTAGAAACTTTTCTGACATCCACATAATTTTTGGCCTAAAAATGACTGTGTCAAGGTCTGGGCCTGAAGAAATGTAGGTGAAATACTACGGAAAATGTGCAACAACTGTTGACTGATTTTATGTTTGTAACTACGGAGGCCTCTTCCACAAATGTTCTCTCGTACAAGGACAGGGACTAAGGGAATTCATCTAGAAATAAGATTTTTCTCCAAATATTTGATTCTGTGCTAGCACTCAGCCCTTAGGGAATGACAATGAGTCTCTCCAAATCACAGTGTGGCCCAACAGCACTTCCCTTTGCTACTCCACTCACTAAATTGGCAGTTTTAAGGCAGAAAACATTCCCACTGTGTGCAAGATCACCAGGCTTAATTTGTCTTCTCCCTAATTGTTCCTTATGAGCATTTGCAATAGTTTATTAGATGGAGAACACAGAGATGTGATAGACAGATAGACAGTGGCTTTGGGTCTATGTATAGTTGGTATTTGTGGCATATGCTGAGCACAGAAATGACGTGTCAGGTGTGCCATTCCCCTTCACCTCAGCACTGCAGTGCAAGGAGACAAACACCACAGTGGACTAATGCACTGCCCAAGTAATTTCTCCATTCCTCAGTTAAGATTGTATTTAGCTCATAATCACTGAGTGTTTAATAGTGTCAGTCTGTTCCCCACAGATATTTGGCTACTTTATGAAATGGCAGCATAAATTTGGCAGGATTTGTTTAAACTTAGTACAAAACCTCATGCACAGCCCACTAAAGCACAGGATGTGTAAGAAGCTTTTCCAGAAGAGCGTTATTTCTTCATGCCATTATGACTTGCTAACAGCACAGTGCTTTTGCTATACCACATGATTCATGTCTTTGGCTTTTACTTTTCTTGAAACAATATTGAGAGCTTTTAAACACCAGAGTACCCTGCAGCCAGGTGGGAGGATTAGCAGTGTGGAGATGCTGATCCAAGTCTGGCTGTGAAGAAAGGGTTTTGGTAGAGTTTTGGGAGTTCAGTGGCATCTCCCAGCTCAGGAGAGAGTCCTGTTACCTGGGGATTCTACAAATGTGACATTTCTGTAGTGAAGCACCAGGGTAGGTGGGCAGGGAGGAATCTCTTGCCTGAATGTAAAGGTCATATGGTGATGTGTCATAAGGTGTCCCTGGGGCATTAAGAGGTACAACAGCTACGAATGAACACACACAAAGTGTGGAAATGTTTTATAATATTAAATTTTAAATCCCCCGACATTCCAGGGTGAGTCAGTGGACAGAAGTGTGTGAACATCCATCAGGGCAAAAGAGCTTGGGTTATGTGGTCATGGGGTTCAGCACTGATGAGTCTGCAAGCATGAGACTATGTAGTAAATATTTAAGTCATCTGGACAGACATGCTGCTGCATGTATTAGCTATCAAGTGCATTTGGCCTGCTGACACAAGCTTTTTGAAAGCCAGTAGGTGTCAGAGAAGAGAGATCCCAACAATACAGAGAGCCATCATCTGACAAACGGTCTTTGAAGTGTCTCTTAGGAGTAAGAGGAATTGTGATAATCAACTCAGCCCCAAATGTTTGCATTTGCTATGAAGTAATCCTTCACATAAACTCCCTGTTCCCCCATCCAAATCATATTGAAAGCAATGAAAAGATCCTCATTGGTTCAATCCATCTTATGGTCGTGCCCTAGGAGGAGAAAATTTGTGATTTTATTGATTGCAACCCCAACACTAAAGATAATGTACGCAGTAATAAGCATTTCTAATTTTAGACTACATAGACTGCGTGGTAAATATCTGTGAATAACCTAAATGCTTAATTTTCTCTATTAATTTGCTGTATGAGTACTAATAACCACATGAGCTAGTCTTGCTTATTTGCTTATCTATTCAAAATAATGGGATGTGGTGGAGGAGCTTTATAACACCTTTAATTGTTATGTGGAAGCTGAAGTTGCTGAAGCAATAAAGAATTTAGCTCAAAGTGTATAGCTGTTTAGGAGGGGTAAAACATGATGAAACTATAAAGGCAATGAAAAACCACTTTTTTTTTTTAACTGCTAGACAGTTAAGTACATTAATTGGAAGTTTTATCTGCATGGACTATAACTATGTGCAAATAATAATAATCATGATAATAGGAAGACCCTTCCCAGTGCTGACAACAGAAGAAAAAAATCATCTCACATGGAGAAAGTTCTGCACGGTACACACCCTGTTTTCCTGGAAAATTTGTTTTTGGGATCAGATTTTTTCATTCAGGCGTGTTTGGCCTGTGAATGGCTGCTGGGTAGTATTGCATGCAGTGTGTTTTGCTGGTGTACATTTTACCAATGATGCATATACATGTCAGACTTTTAAAAAGCCATATACAAAATGGGAATAGAGGTACCTAGACAGATACAAATGGACACAGTGAGACTAGGAAAAAACCTTATTGAAAAAGCACACCCTCGACTACATTATTCACAGGAATGTATATACCACAAATATACTGGGGGTGGGACATTCAACTTAAAGCTCTATTTCAGTGTATAAATGAGGAAACTAATTAGAGTGGGGAGAGGAACATGAATCAGTCTTCAGTTTCCACTGAAAACCATTTAAGGTGTTCAGATGTATAAGCAAAGTACCTTTTTACTATGTGATTTTTACTTTTTATTTCCTATTTCTTCTTTGGGGGAAGGGGATGGAGAGCACCAAGAAATGCTCTAATACCAGGACTTCAGCTCCTGAGCCAGTGTTTTTTTTATTGTCAGTAGTTCATCTGGATTATGGAAGACCTGGTGAGATATTACAGTGCTGGGAGTCCTGAAAAAAGAATGTGAATTATTGACCTGATAGGCTGTGAGTGCAGTAAAATTTGAATACTTGTCACAAAACCCAGAAATGTCTTTTTTTTTTTTTTTGGCAGTTTATGGTCTATTGAGCTATGGTAGCTTCTGGCTTTGATTCCAGAGTAACAGCCTCATCCAACTCATTCAAGTCAATAGGGGATTTGCCATTGAACTTAAAAGGAGAGGAAAGGACCCTGAAATCCTCTAAGTAAGTGTCTTCTAAATGTTTTGTTGACAGTTATATTTCATGAAGTGGCTGCTTTATCCACCTGACAAGAAAAATATCTTTTTTTTTTTTTTTTTAATAATTCCCTCCTGCCCCAAGAAAATCAGAAAAAGATTAGAAGTGGAATAGGAACTTGCAGATCAGGAAGAGCTTTGATCTTCCTTCAAGAAGCTTCAGAGATGAATGAAAACATCCTTATATGACTTATATCCTCTTCACACCAAACATTAGCAGGACTTGATAGTAAGAACAGCTGATCCTTTCTGAGCACTCAGTGCACAGGATGCCCTCAACTTTGCATGAAGAAAATGTGACACCTACCAAAGCAAGAGGGACAGAACTGGCTGCAAGGAAGGATTCTGGGATGCTGCAGGTAGCAACTCTCTGTGTCATTGCAACTCTGCTCATATTTCCAGACCTTCCAGAAATCTTGTTCTGCATAGGCTTAAAATACAAAACTGTAGAAACAACACAGCATTCTTATTGTAAAACAGAGACAACTGTTTGTTACCCCTGCTAATAGTTTAATTCTAATTGGAGGACAGTAAACTCCTGAAATTGTGTTCTTTTTTGTCTCTGTTATAAAGCCACCTTGAGTTTACACACTGCAGAGTGAAATATTTTATTGTAAGTATGAGCCTGCTGTGGGAGGCTGTGATTTAAAATATCTAATCACCTATAAGGTCTGAGTGCAAGCCTGGCAGAAGCCAAAAAGCCATCTTCTAGTCATCTCTGTTTTTTATATCTCTAGCTGAGGGGTAATAATAAAAGCATATTTTGCACTTCAAAATTATAACTCACCTCTGTATTCTAGCCAAGCCTGAACTTATCAGTAAACAAACATAAAAAAGGCAAACAGCACTGCTGATTTGTGTTATACATTCTGGAAGTCATTAACTATGACTCAGGTAACAAAACTTATACGTTCTCTTTGACAGTGATGACAATTTAATAGTATTTGACTCTGCTGAGTTACGTGGAGCATCCTGCAGCAATGAGGGAGGTTGTTTATCAAAATGATAAACATGTTTTCATTTCCTCCTTGGCTGCATGTATGTGATCAGAAGTCTAAGGCCATCAAGAAATCACTTATTCTGGCCACCAGACAGACATTAAGCTATTCAGGACCATCTGTGCTTGAAATGAGTTCCACTTAATGGACCTTCCTAGGGCAGGTCAATCATAATGAGTGTGTGTGTGTGCATGAATGCGGGGGTACAGCATCGCCCAGGTGAGGCTTCTCGCGCTGTTTGGCAGTGGCACAGACGGCTGGTAGATAAGAGATGCCTTTCTTTCCAGGGTCATATGCCCAGTGATTTTAGAATTCAGATCCTCTGTTATGTTTGCTTCTGGCTCGTTGTCAATGCTCCTCACAGCCTAATCCAGATGAAGGTTGTTGTAAGAACTCGTTCGTGTTACTTGTGACACAACAGTGATACCCAAACAACTTCATAGGCTTTGCTGGCCAATTCTGACTCTGTGAATTAGCCATTCACTATGGGAATACAAGCAAAAGGAATCATATGGACCAATCCTATCAACACTTCCAGACAGTTCATTAGGACCATAGCTGGTTTATGATAACTGTATTTATTTATACAGCTTCAATTAGCCAGTCTGTGTGCCAATGCTATCACCATGTTAAGGTCATACACCCATATGTTATTCTGATAAATGCCTAAGTATATGCAGATGCTGCTAGAAGTAG